GATTTATAATTGTAGAGCCTGAAGAAGAATTTATTGAAAACAACTGTTTGCTCTAAATATTTTCTTCTGAATAATCATATTTGTTTGTTTGCTTGTTTGTTGTATATCTCGGTGTGTTTCGGCCATATACCATAAATAATGACTAATTTTAGACCTGTGATTCTACATTTCATTTGGCAATGATTTCCGAATACTTTGGTTTCACGACTGTTTTGTGTGAAGACAGATACATTTTTTTCCAAAGATCACTCTATGCTCATACTGAATTCAAGATTATTTTGAATAGTGCACCATAGTCCAATGCGTGTTTCCAGTGGAACTAGAATGTTCAGATTCTACACTAAAATGAAGGAATAAGTCGTAGGACAAATACTTTTTCGTGAAAGACACTTTGAAGTTAGTCTTTCACTTACTTCGCTTATATGAAAATGTGTGAAACATGGCAGCTTAATCTACTCAGATGAATTTATTGAGGCATATATTAACGTATATCATAATTATACTTGGATAGGAAAGTGTGTGTACGTGATGTCAGAAATTCCCTAAAAACATTGGCAGTTAGACATATCCTAAGCATATTTTCATACTTCCACACGTAGCTACTTCCAACCGATGCGTTTTATCAGGCAAAATTAGTTAGAAAAGGTTTCAAAAATTTTCTGAATAATATTCATAAGACTGCAACTGACTACACAAAAACTGATTTGTCAAGTTAACATTGACTTTCACTTATTATCAGTAAATATTACTGTATAACACTGTGAGACTCTATAAAAATAAAATTTACCCATAGTGTCAAGTTAACAGCCTGCAAAATTAAGTGCTGTTTTAGTATATAGTTTTACGTTCATTTGTCTTTGATTTATCTCATACATTATATCACCAGTGTCATACGTCATCTTTTGTCATATCCTATTATTATTCGCTCCTTGGTTAACGGGTAGAACATAGAGCTTCAGCAGCGAATCACCGTTTTAATATGTTCACTGACATTTATTAGAGCTTGTACCTTGGTTCTCGCAAAGCTGTCCCTTTCAGCTCACCACCTCTCATTCACGTTACCCCTGAGTTGATAAGAAGTGATTTCACTTAACCGTCCCTTCAGTGTATGTTCATTACATCTACTTTTTACATATAATAAATTGTTGGCTGGTTAGCCGACTGGCAGAGTTACTTTTTGCTTATTTTTCCCGACTGGACGTGTAGTCACTATCGACGAAATGTGTCTGCCGATGAAATTCTATATACTGTTTGATATACTCTAGGCAACACATGAGCCGAGATACTCAATCATACAGAAGCACTGACCTGAAAGTTTTATTGGAAATTGAAACTCTGTTTCATGTGCGCAGTGCTGCAGATAATAGACAGCCTTATTGTACTTCTGCCTTCATTTCTAAAGGTATTTATCATGAACCCCCTGGCATGCAACATCAGCATGTAGATATTAATGAATTTTAGAAATATTTTTAGCACAGCATTTCATTGTACTGAAGCATTTCCGGAGACTGTTGAAGTGTTTTCTAAGGTTGTGATACACATTGAACCGCCACTCCAAGCTCTGTTTGGTGTTGATCCCTATTACAGCAATTTGATCCGAATATGATTGATCTTAGTAAGCTTTGTTTCCCGCGATAGTGCCCTCTAATATTTCTCATGATTCTGTGATAGTTACTGAGGGGGCAATTTGTCATATTAACCTTCTTTCCAAACTCCAGGTACATTTACCTGTCGCCACACGTTTTGTAGTAGTTGTGTAAGTTCGTCCACTAAGGACTTTGACTTCGTTTTCAGAGCTTCTTAGACTACTCGATGTGGTTATGATACTCTCCAAGCCTTCAATGACGTTGTGACCTCCAGGACTTCTGCTACTTTTGACCTCTGGCGCTCACTGGTGTATGTTCCCGCTGATCCAATTCCTATGATGATAGATTCAAGATTATGACAGATATTCAGTATTTTCTCCGTTCCACTTCCTTTTCCATAATCAGTTTTCTTTACCAGTTTTCAGTGGTTTACTCTAACCTTATCTTTCCTGTGATTTTCACCTGGTTAGTTCTCATAGCGTTTTGAGCTCTGTTTACCTGTATCCTGCCTTGTTTAGTGCCTAATAAGTAGTTTCTATTTACTCATATTTAGGCGCTGCTTATGTTGTACTCAGCTTATTACACTGGTCATCTCTGCATCCATTCAACTTGACCTTCACTATTTTCATCTTCTGCATCAGCTTTTACTTGTCCGTAAATGGAAAATTGAATGTCCCACATAGTTTTTATAATTGAGATTTCCGCACAAACGTTTTTTTCACTTTGCCTCTAAACATTCCTAGTATTGTCCCACATGGACTTTCTCTGCGTCGCTGCCTAAAGTCAATAAACGTTTCCCACATGACTCTAGTGAATGTAGTCTCTAACGCTTTATCATTCTTTTTTTGAATGTTCAAACTGATTTGTCGTCCACGTCCAGCTTATTTTAGGGATCTCAGCTTGATCTTCAATATCCTGCCCCAGTTTTCTACCGTTTTCCTGATAAGCTAAGTCTCCACTTTCTTCAGGTTGGGATGAAGTTTGTCTGATTTTCATTGTAACCATCTGATGATTTATTGTCATCAAAACTAACCGTCGGTGTGAATATGACTTTCACTTATTAATGAGTTTCACTATCACGGGTTTATAGTTTGTATTTTCTTTTTACATGTATTTTCATACCGCTCAGATGAAAAACATCTTGGTAGGTTGCGTTTTGTTTTTGCTAACATAAAATTTAGTCGTGAAAACCTTTATTTCCGTCTACTCTGATAAAGTCTTGATTACCATAAATGTTTATCATTCAAGAAGCTTTTTCATAGGAGCAAAGTATTCAAATTCATTTGACTACTGTGACGTTTTTGTGCTCATGTGGGAGTGGTCAGTTTATTTCCAGGTTAAAATAACTCTGTTAGACATCATTTCCTGTTCAGATGCATATTTTTTCAGGTTTCTAAAAATTGTCCAGATAATTTCTTTCATAAACTGTGTATCTTCTGGAATGATTTTAGAGTTTCTTATGCATAATAATTGCAGATTTAAAGCTTTCATCCACTTAATTAACTTCACAGGGAGTTTGTATACTTCATGTAATATACACATTTGATCATAGAGAATAAAAAGAGAGTTGCAGCGAAGAAAATTTTCTTTTCGACGAAGTCATCATCTAGGCTGTACATTCGTTTATTTATTTCAAATGGATGGGAAAGTTCCAGAATAATTTCTGGTAGGGGTCAAATTAATAAAAATTACAATTAGAAATTAGAATGTCATAATAAACAGGGTGATGGGTAAAACTCAAACAAAGTAGCATAATAACTAAGAAGATTGACATTGTGCAATTGGGGGTTAGAAATGTAAAAATAACAAAATATACAGGATGTTTGGATAAAAAACTAGTGTGATGAATAATTGTCTATGCAATCAGGGATTAAATATGTAGAAATAGTAAAATGACAAAATAAACAGGAAGTGTGGATATGAAAATATGGTGGTGTAGACAGGGATTAAGAAAACTTAAAATAACATGAATAAACAGGAAGTTTAGATAAGAAAGGCGATGGGATGGTCATTATTAAAAAAATTTACCTGTTTATGATGGCCATGGCAGGGACAGGGGTTGGACGTATTTCTTTCGGATACAAAGAGTGGGTTTGAGTTTTTGGATAGCTAACGCCTCAGCTATGCCCAAATGTCTTGATTTCACTCCCTTTGATAGGTTTGATTGAATCTTGTATATTACTTTGAAGGATTTTTCGAAAGGCGCTGAATGTCCTGAGTTGACCAGATGTTCTGTCACTGGACTGTATACACGTTTTCGCTCTCCTTTTACTAGCCAGGCTGGGTAGTGTTCACGAGCGCGTTTTTCAAGTCGGCGCATGGTATATCTCCTATGTATATTTCCCATATTGCATACTTATATATGTATAAACACATTTAGGACTGACTAACTTTGTAATATGCGGAAAGCAAAATGCGTTTCTGACTGAATAATATTACTTTTATTCAGTGTTGAAATACACATGGTTATTTCTATGGATTCATATTTCCACATTATTTTAAACACATTTATTACCGATAATAAGAACGTAAGTCCATAACCTGAATGTCCTTCTTAAAAGTCTTCATGTTATTACTGTTCATTTCCTTTTTTTAGAAGTGACAATTTCTTTTTCAAAAGTAACTAATTGCAAGACTATGACTTCAAAATCTATGTCCCTTACATAATCAACGAGATGACTAAATCAACCGCTAGTGATCAAACAGCAACATCTTTACCGGTAATGAATTTCGAGCCGGCGATATATATAATCAGGCGTAATAATGTATCATAAATGTAGAGTTCAGACAGTGTTGTCACGCAGAACTTCGCTCTGCAGTCTAACATATAAGGCTATTTAATGAAATACAAGAAAGGTGAAATGACACAGAGTATTAATATAACTTCTTAGTTTTAGATTTTGAGGCATATCTGAACAGCTGACAATACCGATAAATATAGTTAAATATCTGGGTGGATGGGATTAACCTTTAATTGGAAAAAACGTCAGTTAGTGCAGTCATTGATATTTTTCAATACTTACAACAATTTTTGTGTACAGCATTGAACAGTTATTAAAAAGGACTCTACTTTAACAAACGTATAAAAGTGAAGCTATCAGAAACATAATCGGCATCAGTGCTCTAAGTTACAGCTTTTAGGTGGAAGCGGGACCATCATTTAAATTGACATTACATGGAAAAACTAAATGTTTCAGAACAGTTAAAATTTAAGAATCCATGAGTGAGGTTTATGTAATACATACTGGTCCTGACGTGATTTCTCGTAGATTTGGCGGAAATGAGGAGAGTTTCCTAAGTGAAAACACTGTGTTATAACTGAAAGAATATTATATGAGAAGGTACTGAGACTAAAATTTCACTTTGATAAAAATATCTGCTTATTAAACCTTTAGTTTCAATCCTACATGGTTAATGGAAGCTCAAGCTTTTCATGTCGTCTCTTCAGGATTCTATTATACTTTCAGAAGATCTTTGTTGTGCACATTTTACATGGTATTATTTTTACGTAAAAGCTGCAAACTCTTTTCTTCTCAAACGTTTTAATTAAAAGAGAAAATTTTGGACAGACGTAAGTATAATAATATCTACACATTAAGCGGAGATTACATCAATGACTTCGAAAAGAATAACTATAAAAATCCTAACCATGTTGTGATTCAGTGCGAACGAAGTGTCAGGATATGATGAGAGCACAATATTTAAACTCTTATCAAATCAATTAACACACCTAAATGACGTCAAATGAAAACAAAGAATAAATGTGACATCATCACAATAATGATCTCTTAATTCAGCTGAGTGTATTGTATTATATTTTTTATGTGTTCAGGATTTTTAAATACAACTTTTGTTGACATAGTTCTACCTGACCTGAAGCGCAAGCCAATCTAAAATGGTTACACATTTTTCCCCTTCGAGATGTACACGATATCTGTTTGAATGCCAGTGACGCAACTCAGATAGGATTATCTCATGTACTCAGATCATCTGCAATCCAGGAAAATGCTTTATCTCATTTTTAGTAGAATCAGCAGAATGTAAATGTTTTAAGTACCCACAAGTGTGTACAGCAATATTATAGGTCATATTTCACTAGACTTACGCAGAGTCAACAAAAGAAATCATATGTGACATATTGATGGAGGTTTTCAATAGCCCAGTTCTTAAGTGCGCTGCCGACTGAGATTCATGCGAGACTCTCAAGACATTTGGTCGTTTCAATGTTTATTTGAAATATAGCAGTATAATTATCCCTGATTGAATGCTACTATATGTGGATATGTATTTACAGTTTTAGATGTTGCAAAAGAATGTAAGTCATTTCTAGAATCATTCTTTTAATCGAAGGCAGCTGAAATATGATGACTTAGATGATTATTTCCTCGCTTTTCTTTCGACAAAGAAAAGCAGATTGTTTTTGCTGTGCAGTTATTCAAACAGTTATTCTTTGTCATATGCAATATATGTCGCTTTCATGCATGAAATTTATGCTTTCCAACCTTTTAGTAGTGATGTAACTCATATATTCACATGCACCCCTAAAGATCTATCGATGAGTGTGATTTAGTTTAGAAAACATTCACAGGAACAGCAGACTTAAAACCGAAAACGTTCAGTTTCACACAACACAGGTATGAAAAATACCGAATACACGCAACATTTCAGCATGCTTCCAATTATTATAAATTCCACATCAAGGTGCAAGCCAAAGTAAGTTATATTAAAGAATTTAAAAGTTTAACTTTTTGGCGTAGTTACTGACATCAGCATCCAATTTTTAAAATTTCACATTGAATAAACCATTAAGGTCGCATTGGATACAAGTAAGTTCGTAAATGCAAGGAGATGGAAAAATGGGGTGTCACCCATAGCGTTATCAATTATAATCTTTCAAAAAGTTTGAAAACTAAAGTTCATGAAGTTAAGTAAAATAATGCTACCAAGCAATCAACATTTAATGAACAACTGTTTAGTGGAGTCATATAGTGATATTGGACAATGCTAGTTTACTCTGACACATTCATCACTGAAACATTTCCCAATATTCAACAAAATATTAGGTTTAATATAACCTAAGAGGAAAGAATATTTTCAAATATTTACATGTGATGTTGATCAAGGTAAGAGAAGTACGAATTTCTGCTGAACATGCAGATTATTACGCGATATATATCATCAAATAGGTTAAAAATCATCATTGCTCTTTCATATTTTCCTCAAGAATTAACATATCATCCACATAATTAAAATACAATTACATTTCTCAGATGTTCATTCTCGAATTTTGCGGGGAAAATATCAGCCAGTATTGATCTAAGCGGTGACCCCATTGTCACACTATCGACGCTTTCGTACGTTTCCCTACCAGATTAAAATTAAAATTTATTACGCATCTTAGAAGAATATCATTCATTGCGCATACGGGAATTCACGCGCCGAAGTTAAACCAGATTAATTTTCCAATTGAAAATCTACTTTTTTCACCAGCCTTAATGAATAAGGATATAATAAATACGTTGTTTACTCTTAAACTTATTATCACTCCAACTATTTTAAAGCTATCCCTGAGACAGTTTTTGAAGTTAAATAGGCAAAGATTGCCGGGGTTTCACCAACAATTTGGCTTCTATAAGAAAACTAGTACTGGTATGAGTGGCGAATAATTTTGTTAGCCCGTAATATCTCGCTGTGACTGTAGCAGTAAACTTGAGTAATTTAAACATACATTCTGACACGCAAACTTTCTGTTTAAATTTTTTTCAATCTCTAATTAACTGTTTTCAATCTTTGCAATTTAATCAACATAAGTTGATATTTTATGAAATTTCTCATGATCACTAAGTGTGCCATTCATCGTATTTAGAATCCCACCCTGTCCATAACTGCTACTGTGGAATACTTATCAGGCGTGGTAATTACTAAAACCTCAGTTTACAGAGAGCTGATTGGATTTCTCTTATGTGTTAGGGTCAAGTGATGGTTAAATTATGTTTAAAAACTCTTATATTCATAACAGCAATCAGCTAATTAAGTTTTTCAAATGCTTACCTTGATCAACGTATCAGATCTTCAGTTTACGTCTGGAGGTTGAACAGCGAAATGTTATTAAAACAACCAAAACTGAACCAAAGATACCAAGCCTGTGCGTCCATGAGAAATTTTCACAGCCGTCGTTATTGGTTTAGTCCTCTCATCATATTATCTACCACATCTTTAATTTTCTCTCATGTCATCACTTTGAACTTTAAGTCAATTATCATTTACACCTCTTATTTTTCCAACAACCATGCATTGTTTAGCTATTCATTATTATTTAATTTTCACAAATATTGACATATTCATGTGTTGTAATAAATGTATACATAACTATACAACGCGTATTGCATTCATAATGTTCATGTGAAGGCGGTAAGTTCGATTACTGAGAAAATTTATGATGAGCATTTTATGACGGAGGGAATGATTTCAATTTGTTCTGATTCCCTTCTCTTATTTTCGATTATTACAAATAACTGTTCTCAAGTGTTTGTTTAAAGGGATGTGATTGATTTGAAGATGGAAATTATCACTGAAAACCTGAGACTACTGAGCAGCCATTTCATTTATGTTTGAGACTACTGTATTCCGGCCAACTGCCTAATTAATCCTAAAATATGAAGTTTCTGTGTTTGGTTTCTTCTAGACATGAGAGTGCGTACTAATGAAGAGTCGCAAATAAGGAAAAAAAAGCTGTCCAGTACTTCCTTGTTCTCACTCCTTGAATAGATTGCACATTTTCTTTTCTAAGTAATCGCAGACTAACATTCAATTTCACTTAAGGAAAAACAAATCTCTTACAAGAATTTGTTTCATTCGTAACTTCTGGAGGAGGTTTTCAGGAACCAGTCACTGTATCTAAAGACGAAGATGATATACTGCATTTTCGTTCACAGTAATACAGGCTACTAATTGAACAAATGTATTTTCTTTAAATCACTCTCTAGAGAAGATGAGAGATTATGGTCAATCGGAGACCCAACTGAAGAGGACGGCAGAGAACAAAACAGAGTAGATATGTGTTGTTGAATCCCTATGTTCCACTCGGAGCCCAAGGGAATAATAATGCTCCCTGGTAAACTTTTATTTCTTTAGCTAATCCAGAAATTTACTTTACTTTTTTTTCAGATTATGATGAAATCGGTAAGAATTCATATGCATTTGTGCCGAATTACTTGATTAATCAGCCAACGGTGAATGTTAGAACTAACTCGGCGTCACTAATAATTCTATATTCATTGAATCCGTATTTAATGTAACCATCTTGTTGACATATATGAAATGAGGTGGTAGGTGTGTCCCGAAATTTACACTTATATACTCCTAGTAACATCGCACAATAAAGGATCAGTGAATATTCAGCTATCCACTTAACATAATGCTTGAGTTGGCTTAATATCTGTTTTACTTTAATCATAATTCTGGAATAACGCGGTTGTTTGAAATCAAGTAACTATAGTGTTTTCGAATACTCCTAAGCTTGACCAGAGTATGTTTAATTTGCAGAAGTGTAAAAGAACAACGAAAGTCGTTCATCGTGTGCTATTATGACTTATTACTAAAATGATTATTATGAATGTAACAGAGAGAGTCTTTATAAAGTGATTTGACTGGGTGCACTTTTGAGCTGTCAAATTCTAAGAATTTAGCCTGTGTTCATTTTAAAAATAACTTGCAAAACGCAGATGTTTATTTTAATTAGGATACAGAGCACACAGTAGAGTATAGACTTATCGAGAGTGTAGACACATTTCTGAAAAGACATCATCACCTATTGACAAATCAAACCAATCGCATTGTCATTTGGATTTTTCGAAGGACTAGGAAGATGGACAGTCGAATTCGCCAGTTGCTGTACGCACGTACGAATTCACCTGTTTCTGTTTGCCTATAAATATAGGTCATCCATCCACCATCGGTTTCATCAAACTGAACATTATTATGCTAGCTACAAACATGCCGTAATCTGTCAATATGAAGTGCTATAATAATGTACATTTTCATTTCTGCTCACTAAAAGTCTGAGGAGATCTGAGAGTGGTTCAGCGAGTGAAAATAAGCTTCCGCAGAACTTTACGTATTTCTTCTTTTCTTTAATTGATAAGGTTTTGCGAATTCCAGACTGATACCCATATAAGCAACTGGTTTTATCTAATCCATGTACACTGGATATAATTCAAAAATTATATCAATTATTATGTCGATGTTAGCATCAACTTTGTAGCTAGTCTCTCGCTTACCCCGCTTGTCCGTTTCACAATTCGTATTTATATATATATATATATATGCTGAATTCAAAACCTGATTCTCAATTTGAGAAATGTTAAGTCTTCGTATCATTTGCGTGATATGTAAATCCTGAATTATGAAAATGGGCGTTATCGCATACATCTATATTCAGAGAAACGTAAGAAGCATATTCGTTATTTTTGTGATTATTTTGCACCAACTGCACAAGCTGTTTCACGGATGTTAATTGAGATGTCAGTGAGATCATATTTCAATAAAATTCTGCTACACATAATGCACACAGAAAATTTTCATATCTGGTTACAAGAAATTACCGACTGGCATTATTGTAACCAAGGCGAAATTAAGGAGTTTGAGTAATGAAAACAGCAAACGTAAGCTTTGTTGGATGTCATTCCTACTCAGAACTAATTATAATTTAGTTGGTTATCAAAGCATTTATATTTTCTTGGCAAGAAATGCAATCCCTGTCATATTCCAGTTCAGTGTATTTCAGTTTCGAAATAGAAAAGCCTAAAAGTGATTCTAAAAGCTTTTTCCCAGGTTAACTTAACGTACAAGCACTCTAATTGAGAAATAAGTAGGGAACGTCTTAATACACTTGTGTCAATATTCGCATTTTTCTACAACCTAGTTACTGGATGCTTTGATGACCCTTATATATTGTAATCTATCCTGAGGGTGTGCAGAATTTTTAGTGAATTCAGGCGACTATATTTCAAATTGGTCTCAGCACTAAAATTAGTTATCTGATGAAGGAAAAGGTAATGCAAACTTGCTCATACAAGGTGCATGTGATAAATATTTATTCTTTAAGTGAACGAATGACATCACAAAAAATTTCGCTATTCAGTAATTATTTTTCTCAGCGTTTGTGGCGCCCTCTTCAATGAACACAAGAATCTGATTTAAGTAGGACCCAAAATGCAGCTGAAATTCACGAGCAAACAACGATAAAGTCCATTTCACTGGCCAGTTTTAGAACTTTAATCATGTAAACATATGCTGGGTAGTCTATAATGATAAGTTGATGCTCTTTTCATAAAAGGATATTTGTTTGTTTCAAGTATTAAAGACGTTTACTGAGTGTTTTTGAAACATTTCACTGTTTATTTTTAACTATTTTTCAATCAGAGAGAGCAGGTGAATAATTGCATTTTTTAGTGTCAACAAATTTTGTATTTTTGCACATGATTGGTTTCCGTATCGTAATATATTTGAAAAAATGTATGGAAAAACAAATGCCCTATTTTTCAAGCACTTTGATACGTAAATGTGAAACAGAATCAATCTCATTGTTATTATTATTCAGAGTTTCTGATTGATGATATCACTATGAATTGACAGTTTTCGAAGCGGGAGCAATATTTAGCACACCTGCGAATGTGATCCTCAAATAATGTCGTCTTTGAAAGCTAATACAT